TTTTATTTATTTATTTATTTAATTTTTTGTGTGTGTTGTTGTTGTGTGTATCTATATTTAGTAAGAGTTTTCTTAATTAATTTTTGTGAGCCATTTAGGTTCAAGGACTCCACTCTTTCAATTCCTATGTCAATAATCCATTCTATTATAGTGTAAAGAGTTGAGTTGATATTGACATTTTTTTTCACAAAATTTTTATTTCAAAATTATCATTTTGTTTGTAACGCCCCACATCTTATTATTCAAATACATTATCAAAACCATTATTATAATACCATTTCAGAGATAACGAACGGAAGTTCTAATACATCAATGAAGATAAATAAATGAAGATTCTCTCATTTGTACACGTAATGAATGCAACATGCGACATAATTAAATAAATTGTCCACATGCTTACATCACTACATAAAAAGAGTAAGGGTTCAGCCCTTTTTCAACAAAGGCATTCCGCCAGTAGATATAAGGCCCCATAGCCAACAGATAAAGAAGATCCTTGATCTTGAAAACACTTCTCGACGTTTACCTAAAAAAGGAATAGCAATGTGGGATGAACATCAAGTCCAGTAGGGATCTCAACATGATCCTAAACAATAACAACTTACAAATAGTTATGATCATGAATGCTCCAACTCATACTATGTAAATAATGTGATGGTTTGTACTAAAGTATATTTACATAAGTACCTTTCCCAAAATCGTCGAACTCGTTCAACAATACAGATAGTTCATATTTTCTTCTTGTTTTCCATGTCAACAATATCACATTACAACCATTTTGTTTTTGAAATACATTAACAAAAGTTTTGATTTCCTCCTATTACTTACAAACTAAATATGTAACCTATGTCCATTTCTAACACATTCATCACATTTTCCGGGCCTTAAGTCCAAAGTTAAAAAGATACTTTCAACAATTTATTTGATACGCTCACATGTATACATAACATCCAATATGCAAAATGAAAACAACAAACACCCAACAACTACTTACTTAACATATAAGACAACACAGGCTTCTTGAACCATAACCATCATAGCACATGATACACCCAGATACACTAAGACAATATCGATAAACAAAACTTTACTTTACTCGCCTTAAACACAATAAGCCAAGGATGCACATTTCCATAACACAAGCCAATTTACCAATCACCAGCTAGAAGGTAATGAGACATCTACCAATTTACCAGACACCCGCTGGAAGGTAATGGTGCCTCTGTCAATTTACTAGACATCTACTGGAAGGTAATGGTACCTCTGCCAATTTCTCCAGACGCTAGCTAGAAAGTACTGGTATCTCTTATTCTAAGCGCAACCAATTTCTCTAGGTGCTAGCTAGAAGGTAATGGTACCTCTCATTTTCAGCGCATGCACAATTCCAACCATCACAATATACCACAAGCATAAATAACCAGAGAATACTACATACACATAATCTTTCAACATCACAATGTCATCCTCCATCGATGACCAAGGATAAAACCTCTAAACATATGTATTAAATATATGTAATACAATAATCCGATTCTCACGAGAACTTAAGTCTAAAAACAAGCATAATAATAATATTTAAAGATTTCAAAATCCAACCTCAAGTTCATTCTCAATTTACAAAGGTTACAATTTCATTTTCTTTCCAAAACCAATTTCTACATTTCATTAAAATTCACATCCATGATGTCAAAGCCACAACCCGATTTCCTCTCAACATAATCAATCCTAATTAGTCCCATCATCATGGTTAACTCTTCAATTTAACAATTTACACGCTTACACAAGCCATAACAAATAAAACACAACCCTTGTTCAACTTTATCCCTTCATTGAGCTAATAATATTAAATTAGGGTTTTTCCCTTTCTTCAACATAAACATGTAAAACTACTCTCCAATTAACCAAAACAACTACTAATTAACAATTAGAAACCCCACATCATTGAACCCTAGATCTCTCTTACATGTTTTTCGAAAATTCATAATAAACATGCTTTTCATGTAATAAAATCTACCACATAACTATCTATAGACGAAGTATTGAAAAGATGCAAAGAAATCCTTACCTCTTGAAGCAAAGAGAAGATAACCAAAAAATCACTAGCGACGAAACAACGATCTGCTCAGATTAAAAGAAAGCCCTTAACGAACTCTACATTTTTCTCCAAAGGACTATGGTGAGAAAACCAATGGATTGAGAGTACTTAGAGTTAGAAGTTAAGAACTTAGAGAGAAAAGGGATGGATCTAGGGTTTTGATATGTTTAGAGAGAGAATGAAATGAAAAAGTGACTCAAAATGGCCCTCTCTTGGACTAATATATGCACAGACTGCTCAAGCGACCAAAATACTGCTCGAGCGAACACACACAAAAAGTGGCACTGCTCGAGCGACCAAAACCACTGCTTGAGAGTACAATGACCCCCTCCCAGAAGTTCAGACCTGCAAAAGACCGCTTGAGCTCAAGCGAAAATAACACACATTCAGTAGTTTTGCAGACTGTAAAAGACCGCTCGAGCACAAGAAAGACCGCTTGAGCGAACAAACAAAAATTTAGGCAACAACTCATTGAAAAACTGACTTCCCAGCCTGTTCCAAACAAAACCAACACTCCCAATAGCCAAACTCAAAAAGCAATAAGATGGAAATGCGATAAACAACAATTAAGTATATAGATTCTTGAGTCCAGAAACAAGCAAGTGGGTCGTGTCTAAATCAGAATTGTTATATTGTAATTAATAAGGCAAGCACAAATCATTCTGTAACCGCCGATTCAATATATAACTATCAATTTCAAGCACACACGTAAGTAATGAGATATATATATATATATATACATACCAAGGGCTTATTTGGTATCACGTTAGTTTTTTAAATTTTTTTTTTAAGACAAAAATTATAGAACTAGCTATTTAATGTATATGTATATGTGTGTGTGTGTGTGTGTGTGTATAAACATAAGTTGTTTTTAAAATTTTACAATATATTTTTACATGAAGGTCTCTTTGTTTTGACGTCAAATATTTTTGTCAAAAATATTTTACCCATTTTCCATTCTTTGATTGTTTTTAAAATTTTACAATATATTTTTACATGAAGGCCCCATTTGTTTTGACGTAAAATATTTTTGTCAAAAATATTTTACTGATTTTTTGTTGTTTGGTTAAACAAAAAGTAAGTTAAATAATTTTTTTAAGGAAAATATTTTTGCATCATTTTCTCAAAAATGACTTGCCTTTAAAAATTCGGTAAATCAATTTTTATAAAGTTGACTTTCACTCGCTACTTTTTTAACACATTTAGCATTTTCAAATAAATATCTTAGCTCGCTAAAAAGTCATAAATGACAATTTATTGAATCAAAATTTCTCTTTTAGGTAAAAAAATGTTTTTGTTTCAAGTGTCAACCAAACACCAAAAAACAAAAACAAAAACAAAAACAAAAACAAAAAACTTTTTCTGTGTGAAATTAGTTTACAATAAAAATAATTTTTCTATGCAAAATATTTTACGTCAAAACAAACAGAGTCGAAGTGGAAATAATATAAAATAAATAAGTATTTTTAAAATTTTCATTGTTTTAATTTGTGAAAACCAGAAAAACCTAAAATTACAAAATAAAAACCATATTAAACAAAGTGAGCACAACACTCACGATTGTGCACTCAATAGGGCTCATTTTGGATCTGACTTTGATAATCTGAACCGTTCTTTTTTTAGAATATATCGAGTAAAATATACCTATAAAAAAATAATTAGATATCGATAGCGCTTTCATTAATCGCATTTGTATCTAAAACTGAATATAAAATATTATCAATATCCGATCAACTTAATTTTCTATAAATATATTTTGCTTGATGTACTTTAAAAGGTGAATAATTTAGATTATTGAAATAAGATTCAGAATAAATCCCATCAGAAACACAACAATAACTCCAATGTTGGACACCTCTTTTCCACTAAACAGAGCCTAAATTTATGGACTTGACTTGGATGGGTGTTTCTCAAATGGTTTTGAATTCTGCATCAAATTCCATCCTCTTGAGTGGAGTTTTGTGGTCTTTGAATTGATAAATCTCATTGATGGCAAAATTTTTTTTTTTTTTTTTTTGGCAAACCAAATTTTGTCTCAATTCACACCATTTTGTGATTTGGATGTCAATTTTTGAATAAAAATCAATTGTTCAAGTATCAACTTACAAATGAATATACTAATCAATAGTTGACATCCGCACAATTATTTTTTATTTAAAATAAATATCCAAATAACGCAAACAATCTAAACAAGGTTCTTTGGAGAGTGAGTTTTTGCCTAAAATAGGTAAAAAAATCAAACCAAGTTATCACATCACTTTCTTTATTTTTTTGTGTTCCTTTTCATAAAAAGTCAAAAATTAATTAAAATAGTCAATTTCCAAACAAGCTCTACGTATAGTGTGAATAGAATTATTCCCAAGAAGTCAAGACCAAAAACCAAAATTATTGAGTACCTTGATGACCCCATGAATTGCTTCTCAGGTTCCACAATTATTCTCTACCAAATAATCATTTTATTAGAAAGGACAATTCAGGCTTTGGATAAAACAGGTTCTAGGAAGGCTATCATGCAAATAGTCTTGTCGCAGATTTCCGAAGAGGTTTATGTGAAGCTGAAAATAGCCACTCCAAAAATAAAGTTCTATAAAAAGACTGCTTCTGTGACTCAAATTTGAAAATAGTTGCTCCAAAAATAGAACAAACCTGTTTTTGTGACTCAAACTTGAAAATAGTTGCTCCAAAAATAAAACAAACCTTTACTGCTCACTGTCGATCCCCTATGCAACTGTCTCTCATAATACAATTGCAAACCATTATGAATAATGGTGCAATCTGGACAAGAAAGGATAAAACCAGATGTTCTCTCTTTGACAGTAAAAACTGTTCTCAATTTTAAAATGTTCAATTAGAGAAAAATATGCATACCAAACAGATAAACACATTCACAAGAAAACCAAGCACAACCCACAAACGCCATGTTCATCACTATATTGCATACACAGGGCAAAAGGTAACTTCATAAATCTACAGAATTGTTTTATGAACTAGGTAACACACAACAGAAACAAAAGTAAACCACCACACAAAACCAAAGACACTTTAAAGTTACCAACCACTTGTCTTCAACTGTTTGGGCCAATACCCTGCCCAAACTTCATTCATCCCTTACTATTTTCGTAATCAACTTCCAAGCCTTATTTATAACAAACTGTTGCAAAAATACAAAAACAAAAAAAGCACACACTGTAAGAAAATTGTACGCACAACTTGGACACCGATAATGGTTCAAAGCAAGTTAACCCCAAGTTGGTATACATAATCTTTTATAAACTCTGGCGTCATGCAAAGAAATAGAATTCAAACTCCAAATGTTGCAGCTTCGCTTCTGCCAACATTTTATGTTGATGAGACTCCTCTCTTGTCCTTGCCTTCTAAATGCTTTCTGCACAAACAGAGCATACAGATTTAAGGATCCAAATAAAAGCAAAAATGCCATGTGTATGTGTGTATTTACTAGTATGCTTCTGAACGTAATTACTAGTATGCTTGTCACTACTGCATCATTTTTACACATCATACATTTTCATTCTTTTTCTTTGCAGTTTTTATTTTTTGAGGACACATCAGATATTACTAATCATCCTCAATCCAGACTCCTATAACTACATTGTACATTAAGGCCATGTTTGTTTAGGTAGACATGAGCTTGGGATTGGACTAATAATCCAATAAAATTATTAGTCCGATGTTTGGTTAAACAATTGAAATACGGACTAACAATCCATTCGGATATGATATCCCACATATGATAGACTATTCAATCCCAGAGAGGGGTGGGATATAAATTGAAAGACTAAGCCAAAGTTTGGACTATTAGTTCCTCCTTATAATCCTAACTCAATCCAAATATATGATAGGATATACAATCCAAAGGGATTCATAGTCCTAGGACTATTAGTCATGGAATGCTAATCCAACCTAATCCAACACGCCCAAACAAACATGGCCTAAGAGTTATGGACTTGGAAACTTTCAATTTTCCAATAGAAATGTTGGCCTACTTACATACCAGATATATTGCATAAACCTTTTAGGTGTTGATGAAACATGTTCCTATTCAGTGGCATAACTAGGATTTTAATTCAGTAGAGTCATTCAACAAATATCGTCAAGTCATTAAGTAAAATTTGGTTCTACACAATCTATCAAAATCAGCTTTCACATAATACATTATAATTTTATATATTTTCAATCACATAGACAAAAGTAATTCAAGCTTAGTCAAATTACATATAAAAACAAACATTGAGAAGGGGTCTTTTGTCAACTCTTCTGTTTTTGTTTTGTGTTTTAGTATATTGTTTTCATTTTCATAAAGGTAGAATCAATTCTAAAAAATTTCAAAACATTTGAAAACAAAAACAAAATACGTGTTTTTTTTTTTTTTTCAAAACAATTATTCACTCCCTCCCCTTCCCTCTCCCTATAATACTATTGCTTCAACAAAAATAAAGCAAATATCTACAGTTAACTCATACAATCAATGCCAATAACATTTGCTATTGATTTCCACATTATAAATACACTTCAAAATTTATATTCTAATATGCATTAAGAATCATGTCATGTATAAGTTTAAACAATAAAGACAAATTTTAGATTGTGTTCATGATGAAGTGGAATAGGGTAGGTTCAATTTGTAAAACTCCAAACATTTTGGATAAATTTCTACAATTAATTTTTAAAAAAATCAAAATTGAGTGTAGTCAACTGGCACCACTCAGTATAACAGGCTATCGAGTGGTTGATATGTGAGGTTAGCAGGTGGTTGCATGTATCTTGAGTCCGCACTTCTAAGGTGGGTCCCAAAGAGCCCTTATTAGGGTCGGTTCTCGGTTATAAAAAAAATTATAACTGAGACCATTCATTAAGATGTAGCTCCATCTGTTCCGTTTAGGCAACAAATTGTGCTACCTATCTATCCTTTCTTTCTGAAATACAATTTACATAATTCTTCATCCCTCTTGTTTATGTTTTATCTTTTTCTACAATAATAATATTAGGGGGAAAAAAAAAGGTGTCTACTTACCCATTCTACACAACAACCAGATGAATACCACATATCAGATACAAGAAAATGAACAATTAATAAAGTCAACTAATAAAATTCATGACTACAGGCAAAAATGATTTCATAGCCAATAATCAAAAGAAATACTTAATAGTTTTGAATGTATATTTACCATGAAACAAGGCTGTTGGTGTGTTTCCGTATGAAATCAGTGCTGAAAACATCAAAGGATCTTGCCTCTCCTGTTTTCACATTGTAAGTCACAACCAACTTTTCAAAGTGAATGAAGACCAAGATTTGGCCATCATCCAGCCAACCAACAGGTATGAAACTCTCACATAAAAAATTCGGTCCATCTATTGCTTCTCTAACCTTGTAAAGTTTAGCCCATTCATGGCAATGTAAGTCCTTTAAAATGCATACATGAACCTCTGACGAATGTCTCACAATGAAAGATAAACTATTCCCCAGCTCAAGAAGACTATAACACCTCCCAACAAATTCATTTGGAACTTGAATTGAGAGAGAAGTATCATCACAAAGGTCAACAGCAAAAATATGACTGTTCATTTGAGAGTAATAAATAGCGCCTCCAACAGACACTAAAGCTCTATCATCACAATAAAACTGATTCCTTTTAGTGAAGTCTCCATTCTTCTCCATGACAAGTTATTATTATCCACAGACAATACAAACCATCTATATTCTCCACCTGATATTTCACAAGGGCAAACCACCTTGTACTCCTCAGTGCGAGAAATGTAACCAATATGACAAGAGAGCAAAAGATGACCTTTCGCAATAGGAAAATGTAGGTTCTTATACTCTTGTGTCACATGATCCCCAACAAAAAGAAATCTCTCAAGATATGAGCCTGAAAACAGTGATAAGCCACCACAACTAGAGACCATATGTCCATGACAATTTAGGTGTGTTGTTTGAATTCTCCCTCATTAAACTCAAGGAAACATGAATGATATGGCTTACCAAATGTTTGGATGAAAAAGCCATCCTTTGATTGAAGGAGGTGTGCCTTGATAAAAGAAGGATCATATATAATTTTGGCCCAAGCCTTGCACACAAATTTCCCACAGTAATGCAAAAACTCAGCAATAAGGCAAACACCTTGGGAAGAAATGGGATGTCATTCTTTTGTTCCTTTGTTTGAGAGGATGAAGCATTCCTACAACAATGTAGAGAATCTGTAAGAATTTTATAAATGATGATCAAAAATAAGACAAATAACAACATTGTTCACACATCTATGGAATAAAAAGCTATAGGTTCGGACATGAAAATGTCTTTGGAACAAAATGAAATACAAAAAGAAGAGAAGCACATACAAAACAAAAATCTCACTCAAACCAACTAACCAAAATAATAAACTCAGTGTCACCTTTTTATTATTTTTTTCTCTTTTATCTTTCATTCATTTGGATAAATTTTAGAGATATTCATACCATCGTAGAGATTTGGACCCTACACCTCTCCTATTGGTGGGCAGAAAACTTAATTTTCATTTTAGATTGGTAATGCGGTACCCCACTTTTCTACCGTTTCAAATTAAAAATAATCTTCATCAACCAAACGTGAGATACTTTAACGGGGAAATTGCTTTTTAGTGGAACAATAGAAATATAATTTTATTTTCATGGTGGTGCAAGTCTACTAGGTGCATGGTGCAAGTCCATTATGTGTTTGGTGCAAGTCTTTACTATGTGTCAGAATAGGACCAAAAAATATTCCATCTGTATTGCAATTATTTTATAACTGTCCCATTGATTCGCAATTTCCCCTAGTTTTATTGGAAAGAAAATAAAGTTAACAAAATAATTTTGAAACTCAATATAAACTTACTACAAACGAATCAAAAATACCACCTCAAGAAAGCAATAAAGTTTAAGAAAGTCATTCAACAACAAAAATTAGCAAAAAGGAAAACAAATTAATGATAAGAACAATCACAATAAGAAGCAATAAGTGCATGCGTGTTTGAATGTCGGAGGAATTAAAGAAAATACATGTTTATTAGAAGGAACAATTCAAATCCCTCTTATCTTCTTCTAGATCTAGGGCTCAGCCCTTGGATCTTCACGAGGACTGAAGCTCACAAATTAGGGAGAGAAGCAAATGAAAAAAGAGAAAGTGAGATCATGCAAAAGGGAGGATGGGTTTTATCCTCTTACCAGCTGAATTATAGAATATGTGAGATCAAGGTTAGGGCTAGAGAGAAGAAGAGAAGACGGTGAGGAAACAAAAAATTATAGAAATAGGTATTAGGGTTGTGTCGCGTACCCTCTACCTCAGTCCATATTTATACTAGAGTAATAAAATAACAAAATGACAACAGTACCCTTGCTAATAACAATAAAAGACACTTGGTATATAAACGACATCTATTCTAACATTACCAACTTTCTTTCGCCCAAAATAGCCTTTTTCCTATTTCTCATTATTAACCTTAGTCATCATTTAAATTACAAACAAAAAAAATTATTTCCCAAGCCAATCCAAGATGACAAAAAACCCCAAACAACGAAACACAAGATGGCAAAAAAGGTAATAAAATTTAATTTCTTGGTTAAAATGGTATGTCCCTAACTAGAGTGGAAAAGATAATTAACTTTGGTTTGCAGTAGTCTTGATATGGAAAAATTAGCTAGCTAGAGCCCAAGTGTCAGTGACAAACGTAAGCTAAGAAAAATTAAGGAAAACCACTAACATTCATTGAATTTTTTAACATGAAGAATAAGGTAAACCACTAACATCAAATTTTGATTTGGGTTAATTACACTTTTAACCCCTACACTTTGACTCAATTTTTACTTTGGTCCATATAGTTTCAAATTGAGCAGCTTGATCCCTACAATTTAATTCAATTTCAATTTAGTCTTTCCGTCCAAATTTCCATTAATCTTCCTACATGGGTATTAGGAGACTAACAAGTGTCCTAAAATTGTTAACTTTAACCTCAAACTAGAATGGAATGAGCAAGCTGAAAATAGATTTAGAGTGTAGGGATCAAATTATTCAATTTGAAACTATAGGGACTAAAGTGAAATTTGAATCAAACTATAAATGTGAGAAGTGTAATCAACCCTTTTGATTTTGACCAACAGATTGTGAGTAAAATTACAAATTGGTTAAAGAGACAAATATACATTCATAAAAAAGCAAAGCATCACACTCATAAGATATTAGGAATAAAAGTGAAATTTTAATATAACAAAAGATAAATGATATTTCATTGCAAATATAAAAAATAAGAAAAAAAATTCAAATCGGGCTCAGCTACTTTAATCTTTGGTCATACTGCTGGTAACTTAAATGATGAGATGTTTCTATAACATATGATTTGGTATTGTATCGCAATTCAATACATATCACACGACTAATTAATCTTTACCTTTTTCTTCACCTTTGACTCTATTAACAGTTTTTTTATTCTTCGCCTTTTTCACTATCAATCATCATGACCAATTGATGTAGATGAAGAGGGAGAAACGGATAGAGGAATTTAGAATTCTTAACAAAATTGGAAACCAAATACTAAAGACTCCTAATTAAACAATAATTTAAAATACTAAAGGCATCAAATTATAAAATTGTAAATAAAATTTCCATATCAAATTGGTGTGCCAATAGTCAACCATACAACAATGCTGCATCCCCCTAATTTATCACCCCTAAATGACCCCTAACGATGTGGCATTGAGATTAGACCTCACATGATGGAATGTTTGACAAATCAAAATTTGACATTTGTTAGACACATTATTAGGGGTGATAAATTAGGGGTCTCAAGCATTTCTTGTGAACCATATTCTTAATCCCATACAAAGAATACCAATATCCAAATAAACTCGCAAGCAAAAATGAATGCCTTATTCCCTTTCTTACAAGAAATTGAATTACTCTTATGCACCTAATTCAGGTGAAAGAACATAGTGTTTACACACAAATTGTAGGATTTGAGTTTAGACTAGAGATTTGAGCCAAAAGGCTTATTTCGACCATGACAATAAACCATATGACAAGTATGTTTGCTACTACTCATATCCAAACAATTATTAAAGAATATCTTTGGTTGCAAATCATGAACTAGAAAAACACTCACATAAAAAGCAAGCAATACCTTCTATCATAGGACTACAACTGATCATCAATGAAATTAACATAAATGAAATTTTATTTAGTACTAAAGCTAAAACAAGATAAAAATTCAAGTAAGAAGTTTGTAACAATAAAGGTGGACCAAAAGGCAATGTTGTATTTGTGATGTATGTTTCCACAATTAAACATATTTAGCAAAAGAGAATAACTATCAATTGCATTCAATCTCATAATCTATGTGATTATTGAACTTAGAAACAAGTGCCATGTTTTCACACAAACACTGGTTACTTAATATAAGTATCTAGGTAAAATTATACATGACCAGAAGTGTATTAATAGGTTTGAACTATAGCTAAAAGGAAACTAAATCATTTAATTTAATTGGTTCGGACCATCAAATCAAGAAGCATGCATATATTTATTGAAGATCAAATCTGTATGGTCCTGAGCTGATCCACCAATCTTGCAAAAGAAGAAGTGAGTCTTTAGTGACACCACTGTGGTGTCATCCAAAAGCCCTCCAATGGTTCAATCAGTACTCATTTTGATGGAATAGAAAAAGAGTAGAGAGAGAGATTGAGAGGAGAGATTTAGGGTTGCTGAATATTGCCTACCTTGTGTTTGTCTTACCTTAAGTCTTTTATAGAGAAACTCTAATATGAGTTAGATTAGTGAGATAAATAATTCCCTAATGTCCACTTTTGTTTTGCAATGGATGTGGAAATATATAATCCCAATTATATGTTTGTTTTGCATCATTAGTTGTAGTATTAAAAAATTCACTAATTTTTTTTTGGATAGAATGTGTAGCGAATCTAATCCGTATAACAAAAATTGCAACCAAACAATGAAATGTGAGTCTCATAGATTAATAATCTCAATCCTATGCTATAATCCACTCAATCAAACAAGCCCTTATAGTATAATCACACTCGGTGAAATTCAAAAAAAAAAACACCAAATAATATGATATCATGAAATTAGTTTCATTTAGATGGAAAATATAACCTCTTTTGGGTGAAAAATCAAATAATTGAGCATATAGCTCTTCATAGAGTGGAACGAGGAAATACACATTCATGTAATTGACCCCACCAAATTGGAAAAAAAGGCTCAATTTGGTTTGGTTTGATTTTGTTTGGTTTAGGTGAAGATTGAAAGTTCCTTTCCTTCTTTTGAAACATTGCACTTCCTCATATTTAGGTGGAACTAACACAGCCGAATCCCATGCTATCAATTCCATTTCTATTTGACACACTTAGCAACAGATTTTCAAGACCCCTTTTCAAAAAAAAAAAAAAAAAGGCTAGTCAAAAAATCCAGGCGCGACAGATTGTAATTTGTAATTACTTTGCAGATAATTTTTGGAAAAGATTTTCAATCCATAACACGTAAGAACCAAGTTTTAACCACGAAAAGCATAATAAGAAAATACCAACCAACCCAATACCTCAGTTACACTATGAATCAAAAGAATATGTAATTTTTCAAATATATATATATATTATCTCACCAAATTACTATGAAAAATATGCAGCATTGTCACAAGAGTAGAGAAGCTATTGATTGAACAATTAAAAAGAAAACTAGTTACGTTTAGATCATGAATTTTGGTAGGAATTTGGCAAAAGAAAGAGAAAAAGTAACGAGAAATGTGAATACAATATAAGTTAAATTTTTTGCCATTTCTCTTTTCCTTTCGCTATCCAAATTTCTATCCAGATTATCCAAACACAACGCAAATATAAAGTATAAAAAATAAAAAATTGAATCTAATTGAATAAGTAAAGTTCACATAAAATATTGACAAGCAAGTCTTACCTTAATTTATTTTTTTCCCGACTCCACTCATGCCATCAAAATTTCCAAAGTTCCAAGTAAACCTATTTTATTGCCAAAAAAATAATAAAAAATAAAAAAGGAAGATGATATAAAAGCATTTTACTCTTGTTTCCAAGCATCAGAAACAATTTGAAAGACAAATTACACTGATGGTACCTATATTTTCTCTCTTATGTCATTTGGTCTCTACACTTTTAATTGACTCAATTTTGACCCTTAATTTTAGATTTTGTATTAATTTGATCCAATTGATAATTCTGTTAATGTTTTTACAAAAAATTAACATTTAATTAGTTGCTGTTAACTCACTCAATTGAGTAAATTTATAATTTTGCTATTAAAAATACAACACATATCATTTATGTACCTATTTTTCATTAAAAAATGTTAAAAGTTATGAACAATTGAACCAAATTGAGACGGAGTCATAAATTCATGATAAAAATCAAATCAATTGAAATTATTGAGACCAAGTAGAGGAACTAACATCGTAATTTGCCCTATTTAGAAATGGGCAAATTACAAACACACTCTGAGATTTACTTAAATTACAAATTACCTTTGTGTTCTAGAAATTACATTATGCCGCAAAGATTTCTAATTTCATAACAAATAGGTCCTTTTATTAATAAATCATCAAGTTAATTAATAGTTTTTAATAATGTTAAAATTTTATTTCAATTAATAATTTAGATAATTGTATTATTATATAGGTGAACAGTTAGAAATTTTAATTTTCAATTAATTCTGTTAAATAAAAAATTCTGACCGGAAGTATTTGTAATTTTTCAATCCACAGAACAATTCGCATTTTAAACAAATCTTAGGCGTATTTGTAATTTACCCTTTAGAAATATAACAGCAGCAAATCCAAAACAATGGGACCTAGATCTTAAAAAAATGACCTGAAGACTGAGGAGGCATGGTTCTCTCTCCGTTTGAGTCCCAACCCAATAAAACAATGAAACCGATTTGATGAAGAATGGTTTTATAAGAACTCAAAGTTCCAAAAACCTGCCAATCAATCAAAAAATTAAAAATAAATAAAAATGTTTCATCCATCCATAGATTATGTTTTTGTCGGATATTCATCTCAGGTGTAATTGATTGGAAGGAATAAAAAAAACCCATTGGAAAATAACCAGATCGTTTAATCTTCCTTTTGGTGGACTAATTTAAAAAGAAAAAAAAAATTAAGAAAAAATGTTTATCCACGAACTCAACACATGAGGTAAAGGATCTCAATCCATAAAATGATAGCAAATAACAAAATACTTACTCGAAAAAAGAAACAAATTTTCTTGGTCCTGATGAATCCTAACCCAATTGTTCAAAGCCTGAGTTTTCTTCCCTGCGAGTACGAAATGTTGAAGTAAACTTGTCAAGAAAAATTGATCTACTACCAGATTACATGTGAGCAACCTTTATTTATATATACCACTCAGAATATCTCATTACACACTACTTACTACTAAGTTCACACCAAACACAAATTGATTTTTTTTTTCCCCTCAAATCTTACTAATAATTTTTTTAAATATTATCAAATATACCTTATCTTCATCAATTTTAAAGCTCAACCCTAATTTTAATTTTAACCCTCAGAAACTATCCACCACTGTTGTTAGGGTTGTGTAAAATACCGCACAATCTGTTAAAATTATACTGATCCGTATCAATCAGCACCGCTCTATCTGCTAATCACAGTTTAACCTTTAAAATTTATAAATCGCCTTCGAAACCGTTTCACTCTACTATAGTTAATACATATATATTTTTTAATCTATAATGAAATATCAAAGTAAAAATAAATGTGAGAAATATTTAATATGTAAAATTATTACAAATTAGTAATTATACATATGAAAAATATTATGTAAATTAGTGTCATATATTATGCAAGTGCTTGACAATTGGTTAGAATATTTTTCAATCCGTCATCCGTCCAAAACTGCTCAAACCACAATTTGCTAATCTGCCTTTAATGAACGGTGAGAAAATAAAAAGTTTATACAAAATTGATCCGAACAAGTGGCTTCTGTTCGATCAACTTGATTTTTTGTAAGGATGATATACCCGACAAACCCTAAAACATAAACAGTTTGAATCATCAAAACGGGACTTAAAAGTGGACCCAATCGGCCAAATTGGACTTTTCAGTTCGATTTGAGTTTGAGACAATCCAGACCCTTATTTTAAAGAGTCGTACTACATCTCCACCAAAGCACCCCTTTGGAGACTCTGACTGGTAAGGATCTATTCACTTACTCTATAGCGCTAAACTCATATGGGTCGAAGTCTATGAATGGGTCTTTTTGTGAGAGATTTGTGTGGGGATGGATTATTTTCCTATTTGAAATATAGCAAAGACTTAAATTCTTCATCCTATGTAAATTACATTTCCATGGATAGATAGATTGTCATTAAAATCTCTCATACCTTTTTTAAAATCTTTATCTTAAATTTTTCAAGTATTCAATTCTTTGTTCAACTTCCTTTTGTATCCCAAATTTATTATCTCCATAAATTAAAATCTAGCACTTAGTGTATGAATTAAATGTCCTAATACTCTATTTGGTTCATTAAAATGAGATGGAATAAGATGAAGGAAAATGCTAGAGGTCCCAAATTTTCTACCAAACAAATGACCAAATGTCTCACATGGGTTGTGGGCCCCACACCCATGTGAGACATTTGGTCATTTGTTTGGTAGAAAATTTGGTGTCCCTAGCATTACCCATAGGATGAAATAGAATGGAATATTAATTAAGTAATATTAAGGAACCTAAATGTTTTACCAATACTTTTACCAAATATCTTGTGGGCCCCACACCCATGTGAGACATTTGGTCATTTGTTTGGTAGAAAATTTGGTGTCCCTAGCATTACCCATAGGATGAAATAGAATGGAATATTAATTAAGTAATATTAAGGAACCTAAATGTTTTACCAATACTTTTACCAAATATCTCACATGGTATGAGCCTCACACCCATGTGAGATATTTGATAGAAATGTTAATAAAATATTTGGGATCACTAACATTTTTTTATATTAATTTCTTAGACTTTCTTATGGAATAATGTAAAAGATGATTTCATTTATAAATATAAATACAACTTTAGGGGCCATGCTTGTTTTCTTGATTAGACGATGCTATTGGGCCCGTAGAACCCACCACGAGCCCTATTTTGATAATTTAAATTGTCAATGTGTAGAGAGCTCGTCAAGTACTTTATTCTTATAAAACATTACGTTAATCGGATATCGATAGCTACTTGATCAGATTAGATTTTTGTTAACAATTTATTTTGAAAATTATATTTACCGTTGACAGAAATTTGATTCAATCAAGTAGCTATCGATATCTGATTAACAGGATATTTAACAAAGATAAATTACTCAATGAGCTCTATACATTGAACGATTCGGATCATCAAAACAAGACCCTTGGTGGCTCCTACGGGCTCAACAGCACACTCCAGTTCAATCTTGGATTTGAGAGAATCTTGACCTCAACTTTAGATCTACCAATTTATGATAAAATCTTAGACAGATTTTTGAATAGGGTGTTTCAACCATAATCCCTTCATCAACAAAATTTCATAGACACCCGATATCATTTTGATGTTTCACACGCGAAGGACATAAGTGTACAACTTATAACTTATTGGCAAATGTAATTTTTTTTTTTTTTAATTTTAAAATTTCAATAGTTTTGATATATATATATATATATATATATATTCATTTTGTTTGTTTGTTTGTTTGTTTTTTCCTTTAGGATATGCTGCAATCATGGATTAGTTGAAGTTCTCAAAATGTAACGCCTCAAAATAAATGTCTTAAATCTATCCAAGTCCATATGAAAATAACAATATGAATCAGAGTATAATATTCTTTCATTTCGTGAGAGCTAATGGTACAAAAAGGTTTAACAAAAATAAATATCCTATAGGCTTACATCTTTCCAAGACCATGATTGGTTGCAACAAAAGCGAATATAAATACAATACATGTAAAGCCCTTAGCTTGAATTAAAACAATGACATAATACACAAAAAAGAAGCCTTCAGCTCCGATTTTTCCCAAACTATTGCCTTTGCAGAGGCATATCACCAACACCTGAAAATGTTTTCCTATATAGAGTAAGCCAAAACCCAGCAAAATAATCTAACACAATATACGAATCTTAACAAAGATATAAGTGTGACAAGCACATATCATGCCTATGATAAAATCATTCATAACTCATTTGCAAAATCTTACTATGTCAAATTTATATCTCAATCCATTTTACCTCAATTCATTAGTCATTTCTAAGTCATTTTCAATTTATTCAAACCAAACTAAGGGTACAACTCAGTGAGTCTTTAACCAATATAACCATCATACAAACACTTCTACTTTCCATTTTACGGATATTTCGCCTGCGGGAATCGGTACAACTCAGTGGGTCTCTAACCAATATAACCATCATACAAACACTTCTACTTGCCATTTTACAAATATTTCGTCTGCGTGAATCAGCACCCATGTATACTCGTGATTTTCGGGACTTTCACCCTGAACACAGCGACCAACTTAATTCAATGGAGTACATCTCATTTCTTCTTCCAAACATGGAGTACATTTCTTTTTTTCTCCCAAACATCATACATTTGCAATGTATTAAAGACATAATCATGTTCAATGACAACGGAAGAGAGATTAATTTCAATTTACCTAATCTTCATGCAATTTTTATAACAATCATAGCTATCCTTCACCGATAGCCCAAAACAAATATTTCTAAACAGATATACAATCTTCAAAACAGATAAACTATCCAAACTTCCATAGGTGAAAGATAATACATATCCAACTCCACCATTTATATAAACATCCAACCAATTTCATATTTTTAATACCAATTTCAATTTTTATACAAAATAACTAGTTGAGACATTCTAGAGCAAAACTTCGAACTCATCTAAAATCCATCCCAAGTATCAAGATCACAAATTTGTCACACCACAACCTATTATCTACTCCCATAACCATTTCCAATACATTCATTTGAAAACCCTATTTTGATTTTAAAGCAAAACCTTAGGTTTGTTCAAAATCTTCCAAAATCAACATACTACTTATATAACAATAAATAGTTAAGTTAAAAACCATATGAGAGTGCAGAAAATCCCCACCCCAAACTTAAAAGACCAAGGGTGAAATTGAGAGACTTCAAAGGTGCCAAAACTCAACTCTATTCGGATAAAAACGTAGCCCTCAAGACGCTTTACCTTTTTATCAAAGAGAGTAGGGTAGAGAGATCCCTAGATCCAAGTGTATTTGTATAAAGAAGTTAGGTTTTAGAGAGAGAGAGAGTCGATCTAAAGTTTTTGAGAGAAAAGATGTGAAAAAATGATGTAAAAAAAGCGTTGTTATGAACTGATATACGTGCAGTTCGCTCGAGCGCAAGAGTTGTCACACAAGCAACCAGACACAATAAATTGTTTTGCTCGAACGCAAGAAGTTTCGCTCAAGCGCAAAATGCATACTTCTAGAAATTTTACAGACAGAAGACCGTTGCTCGAGTGCAAGAAATCTCGCTCAAGCGAAGAATACTACCTCCACAGTATCTTTGCAGGCCTGCAAAAGTACTAGGAGCTCACAAAGCTCGATCGAGCACAAGAAGCTTCACTTGAGCGAAAAGGTCAAATCCTGAGCAACTATAGTTTGAACCAAGTAGCAACCAACCTATTCCAAACACAACCAAGATGTACCAATATCTAAACTCAATGAGGAATGAGGGAAAACAAGACATGCACAACAATACAAAACCATGAAACCCGAGTCCAAGATACAAAATGGATCGGGTCTAAACCAGAATTAGTATACATAATTTTTCATAGGATGAGTTTCCATAAATGCAATATGCCTGTACATGGCTCTGCCATATGAATTCAATAGAACAGGGTGCTTAACAGAATTACACAACTTGTGTACGAAAGAAGTAATCACATATTAAAATTCAATCAGAGTAATACGAATAGATAGTATTGAACTAATCATGAAACTCACCCATTTAGTTTTTTCAAGCTTGAAAGAAGATACTCTAACTCTAATGGAAGCGGGATGTTTTTGGCCTTGAATGGTGATTCTACCATTTTGCAAAAGCGATTGATATCATCAACATAAGATTTTTTTAAATTAATATCCACCACATCAACAAATTTTGCCCTCCCATCAATGACATAAATGTTTTCTCCGCATATTTCGCCATGTGCATGCTTTAGTTTACTATGAAGGTAATTTATCCCTTTCAACATACCCCTACAATATAGAAAACAAAAAGGAAATTAATAAACATATTGCAAAATCAATAATAGATATAAACAAAGAGAGATGCACTCACAATAAAAAGGCCCTAAAAGAAGGTGTCAAATGATTGTCGAGGTTGATGAGAAGATTGTGTTGCATCCAATCTTCAAAGTTTTGGTCCACGGGTTGAGAAAATAGTATTATTTGATCATCCCCTACATGGGCCTTCCCCAATATGCTAAGCAAATGGGAGCTTTTGTGCTCCGATGCAAACTTATACCAATAATGAACATTATCATTAATTGGAAGAAGATGACAAAACGTTGGCATATCACAGTTCATGGTTGCTTCGTATGAATTGGTACTGTTGACAATACATATTTCATCGTTAGAAAAGAATGAGCTGACAGATACAATGGTCCTTGACAAATCAGTATTCAAGTCTTCAAAAAGCATACTTGTAAATTTGTAATTCGATGTTAGTTGTCTCTATGACAAAACATAACAACAAAATTTGTACTAAAGAACCATCGACAAGTACTTCCCAACTATGCAATCTAACACAAATCCATAGGGATTGCAATACAAACTCAAATTAAACTAAACTACATGTTTAAAAAAATTAAATCAAAAAATCAAAATGCTATGCAACACCAAAAAATTTACTACCCTGATTATTGAGGAACATAAAGCATTAAACTTTTTACATACGAGTCCCAAAAATTTGTCTACAAAAACATGTAATAAAATGCGAATTTTTTTCCCATAGAATTACATACTACTAGACATGGCATTCAAAGTTGGTTATTTAGTCCTTTTGACTTCATGAACTGATGTGTGGGGAAACAACCAAAGTTATGCTACTTGGGTTTTGAATATTCTTCTTATTCATGTTAGAAGATGCTGGAAATATAAGCAATTTTTGTGTGTGTGTGTTATGTTTAATGGAAGTGTGGTGTGTTTTAAGATTACAATCTATTAGCTATGCCTAACTCACTTGACTTGTGCAAGGCATCGGTGCAATTCAACATGGCTTAATAAAAATACATTGATACAGGAAAATAGAATTAAAAGAATTGTGAAAAGAATAAGCACTCAACATTTTCTACATTATTCAAAAACAAAAAATGTTACCACTTTTGAAAACATTCCTCACTTGTTACATTCAACAAATATCACACATTGGAATTGACACTTGATCCTAGAAAGACAATAATATATATTTAGAGTCTTAAAAGGAAGAAACATATTATATTTTGCAGAGAGGAGTGAGAAGTATTCCCTGATTAAAAGCCAATGCTTTAAAGCTGTGCAAAAGATATTAGCAATTTAGCAGTCTATTTCTTATTCTTACCAGTTGATTTTTCACTTTGAGTTATTTAGCTACTTCTTCAATTCTTCATTTTCAGCCGAAAGTTTGTCATAATCTTCACGTAGTTTTTCATGGTCTGCTTTGACATTCACCAATTCACTTTGATTGTTAAGATGCTTGATCACCATCATAACCAACCCATGAATACTATAAGAATTTTATAAATGATGATAAAAAAATAAGACAAATAATAACATTGTTCACACGTCTATGGAATAAAAAGCTATAGATTCGGACATGAAAATGTCTTTGGCACAAAATGAAATACAAAAGGAAGAGAAGCACTTACAAAACAAAAATCTCACTCAAACCAACTAACCAAAATAATAAACTTAGTGTCACCTTTTTATTATTTTTTTCTCTTTTATAGTTCATTCATTTGGATAAATCTTAGAGGTATTCATGCCCTAGTAGAGATTTGAACCCTTCCCTCTCCTATTGGCAGCAGAAAACTTAATTTTCATTTTAGATTGGTAATGCGGTACCCCACTTTTCTACCGTTTCAAATTAAAAATAACTTCATCAACCAAACGTGAGATACTTTAATGGGGAAATTCTTTTTAGTGAAACAATGGAAAAATAATTTTATTTTCATGGTGGTGCAAGTCTACTAGGTGTATGGTGCAAGTTCATTACGTGTTTGGTTTAAGTCTTTACTATGTGTCTGAATAGCACCAAAAAATATTTCATCTGTAGTGCAATTATTTTATGACTGCCCACTGATTTGCAATTTCCCCTAGTTTTATTTGAAAGATAAGAAAGTTAACAAAATAATTTTGAAACTTGGCGAAGTTTTGCCCAACTCAAGGACATTAGTTTATTTTCCATAGCTATAATTTAACAATTTAATTGCATCAAATTGCAACAAAGGGGAAAGAAAAGAAACAATATAAACTTACTACAAACTAATAAAAAATACCACCTCAAGAAAGCAATAAAGTTCAAGAAAGTCATTCAACAAGAAAAATTAGCAAAAAGGAAAACACATTAATGATAAGAACAATCACAATTAGAAGCAATAAGTGCAATCATGTTTGAATGTTGGAGGAATTAAAGAAAATACATGTTTATTAGAAGGAACAACTCGAATCCCTCTTATCTTCTTCTAGACATAGGGCTCACTGATTTTGAACTTGAATCCCTTGGATCTTCACAAGGACTGAGGCTCAAGAATTAGGGGGAGAAGCAAATGAAAAAAGAGAAAGTGAGATCATGCAAAAGCGAGGATGAGTTTTATCCTCTTACCAGCTGAATTATTGAATATGTGAGATCAAGGTTAGGGCTAGAGAGAAGAAGAGAAGACGGAGAGGAAACAAAAAATTATAGGAATCGTTATTAGGGTTATGTCTCGTACCCTCTACCTCAGTCCATATTTATACTAGAGTAATAAAATAACAGAATGACAATAGTACCCTCGCTAATAACAATAAAAGACACTCGGTGTATAAACGACATCTATTCTAACATTACCAACTTTCTTTTGCCCAAAATAGCCTTTTTCCCTATTTCTCATTATTTACCTTAGTCATCATTTAAATTACAGAACGAAAAACTTATTTCCCAAGCCAAGCCAAGATGGCAAAAAACCCCAAACAACGAAACACAAGATGGCAAAAAAAAATTTAATTTGTTGGTTACAATGGCATGTCCCTAACTAGAGTGGAAAGGAATATTAACTTTGGTTTGCAGTGGTCTTGATATGGAAACAACTAATAAATTGGCTAGCTAGGGCCCAAGTGTCAATGACAAGTGTAAGCTAATAAAAATTAAGGCAACAAAACCAACCTAGCTAGTAAACCCCCTAAGTTGATAATTTATGTTCTGATTAATGAAAACAATATGGAAAATCATGTGTACATTGTATTATGAATTGATATAGATGATTAGAAGTGCACCAACATTCATTGAGTTTTTTAACATGAAGAATAAGGCAAACCAATAACATCAAATTTGGATTTGCGGTAATTACATTTTTAGCCCCTACACTTTGACTCAAATTTTACTTTGGTCCATAGTTTCAAATTGAATAATTCGATCCCTACGATTTTAATTCAATTTCAATTTAGTCTTTCCCGTTAATTTTCCTACATGGGTATCAGGAGATTAACAAGTGTCCCAAAATGGTTAACTTTAACCTCAAACTTGAATGGAATGAGCAAGCTGAAATTAGATTTAGAGTGTAGGGATCAAAATTATTCAATTTGAAACTATAGGGACTAAAGTGAAATTTGAATCAAACTATAAAGGTGAGAAGTGTAATTAACCCTTTCGATTTTGACCAACAGATTGTGAGTAAAATTACAAATTGGTTAAAGAGATAAATATACATTCATAAAAAAGCAACGCACCACACTCATAAGATATTAGTAGGGGTGAGCATGGTCCGGATTGGACCGGATTGGAGTAAAACCAGGACCAATCCGTTATTTACGGTTCCTGAAAAATTGGAACCAATCCAATCCAATCCGTTTAAATCATGGAACCAATCCGAACCAATCCATTTAAATACGGATTGGATCGGTTCAGGACCACGGATTCACATAATTAAATAACAAAAAAATATATATATAACACTTTAATTTTATAAAAACATAAACATAGTGCTATATTAGTTCCACAATAGCAACATGTCTTTCTATAATAACGACATACTGTTCTAGAATTTAAACAACCATAAGAAAATTAGTTTCACCATAAGTATTTAGACCATTACAAATTAAAACTAAAAACTAACAAACAAAAGTAATAAAAGAAGATATGATGCGGGTTTAGGTTTGAGTTTAATTTTATATGAAATAAGAGAAGATACTATAGGGAAGGATGTATAATAAAAATATAGACTATTTGTATACGGTCCAGATCGGTTCCAATTCGGAACTATAGAGTTCAATCCGGAACCAATCCGTGGACTACGGATTTTTAATTCTTCAATCCGGAACCGAACCACGGATTCAAAAAACCAATCCAAACATATTGGATTGGACTGGACTGGATCGGATTACGGATTTCACGGATTCTTTGCTTAGCCCTAGATATTAGGAATAAAGGTGAAATTTTAATATAACAAAAAATAAATGATATTTCATTGCAAATATAAAAATAAAAAAAAAAATTCAAATCGGGCTCGGCTACTTTAATCTTTGGTCATATTGCTGGTGACTAAAATGATAAGAGATGTTTCTATAATGTACGAATTGGTATTGTATTGCAATTCAATACATATCACACGACTAATTAATCTTTTCCTTTTTTTTCACCTTTGACAATGTTAATAGTTTTTTTTATTCTTCGTCTTTTTCACTATCAATCATCATGATCAATTGATTTAGATAGAGAGGGAGAAAGGATAGAGGAAAAACACAAGGGCCACAACCCAAATCACACAAATCTATTAATCAACTATGTCCAATACAATTACCACAACTTCTTATTTATAGGCAAAAATCCGAATACTAAAAAGAAATTTAGAATTCTTAACAAAATAGGAAACCAAATACTAAAAAGACTCCTAATTAAACAATAATTTAAAATACTAAAGACATCAAATTATAAAATTGTAAAATAAAATTTCCATATCAAATTGGTGTGCCAATAGTCAACCATACAACAATGCTACATCCCCCTAATTTATCAACCCCTAAATAACCCCTAATGATGTGGCATTGAGATTAGACTCCACATGATAGAATGTTTGACAAATCAAAATTTGATACTTGTCAGACACATCATTAGGGGTGGGTTTTAGGGGTGATAAATTAGTTGTGTCAAGCATTTTTTGTGAACCATATTCTTAATCCCATACAAAGAATACCAATATCCAAATAAACTCGCAAGCATAAATGAATGCCTTATTCCCTTACCTACAAGAAATTGAATTACTCTTATCTACCTAATTCAGGTGAAAGAAACATAGTGTTTACACACAAATTGTAGGATTTGAGTTTAGGCTAGAGATTTGAACCGAAAGGCTTATTTAGACCATGACAATAAACCATATAACAAGTATGTTTGCTACTACTCATATCCAAACAAGAATTAAAGAATATCTTTGGTTGCAAATCATTAACTAGAAAAACACTCACATAAAAGGTAAGCAATAACTTCTATCATAGGACTACAACTGATCATCGATGAAATTAACATAAATGAAATTTTATTTAGTACTAAAGCTAAAACAAGATATAAATTCAAGTAAGAAGTTTGTAACAATAAAGGGGAACCAAAAGGCAATGTTGTATTTGTGACGTATGTTTCCACAATTAAACATATTTAGGAAAAGAGAATAAATATCAAAATTGCATTCAATCTCATAATCTACGTGATTATGTCTTTATTTTTTTATTTTTGGATAAACCATAATCTATGTGATTATTGAACTTAGAAACAAGTGCCATGTTTTCACACAAACACTGTTTACTAAGGGTTGGTTTGGGATGTTCTAAAAAAGCGCACTTTTTGACTTATTGGCTTATATGGGTTGGGTTGGGTTTGGGTTAGGTTTGATGTGATGGGTTAGAGAGGTGATGTAATTTAAATAAGATGATGTGCCTTAAATAGGATAGTGACTTTTTGACTTTTTGTATTATTTAGTGTACCCCAAACCAAGCCTAAATATAAGTATCCAAGTAAAATTCTACATGACCAGAAGTGTATTAATAGGTTTGAACTATAGCTAAAAGGAAACTAAATCATTTAATTTAATTGGTTCGGACCATCAAATCAAGAAGCATGCATATATATATATTGAAGATCAAATCTGTATGGTCCTGAGCTGATCCACCAATCTTGCAAAAGAAGAAGTGAGTCTTTAGTGACACCACTGTGGTGTCATCCAAAAGCCCTCCAATGGTTCAATCAGTACTCATTTTGATGGAATAGAATAAGAGTAGAGAGAGAGAGAGAGATTGAGAGGAGAGATTTAGGGTTGCTGAATATTGCCTACCTTGTGTTTGTCTTACCTTAAGTCTTGTATAGAGAAACTCTAATATGAGTTAGATTAGTGAGAAATAATTCCCTAATGTCCACTTTTGTTTTGCAATGGATGTGGAAATATATAATCCCAATTATATGTTTGTTTTGCATTATTAGTTGTAGTATTAAAAAATTCATTAATTTTTTTTGGATAGAATGTGTAGCGAAATCTAATCCGTATAACAAAAATTGCAACCAAATAATGAAATGTGAGTCTCATAGATTAATAATCTCAATTCTATGCTATAATCCACTCAATCAAACAAGCCATTATAGTATAATCACACTCAGTGAAATTCAAAAAAATAAACACCAAATAATATGATATCATGAAATTAGTTTCATTTACATGGAAAACATATACTTTTTCGGGTGAAAAATCAAATAATTGAGCATATAGCTCTTCATAGAGTGGAACGAGGAAATACACATTCATGTAATCAATCCCACCAAATTGGAACAAAAGGCTAAATTTGGTTTGGTTTGATTTTGTTTGGTTTAGGTGAAGATTGAAAGTTCCTTTCCTTCTTTTGAAGCATTGCACTTCCTCATATTTAGGTGGACCTAACACAGCCGAATCCCATGTTGTCAATTCCATTTCAATTTGACACACTTTAGCTACAGATTTTCAAGGCCCCTTTCCAAAAAAAACAAGATGGTCAAAAAATCCAGGCGCGACAGATTGTAATTTGTAATTACTTTGCAGATTATTTTTGGTAAAGATTTTCAATCCATAACGCGTAAGAACCAAGTTTTAACCACGAAAAGCATAATAAGAAAATACCAACCAACCCAATACCTGAGTTACACAATGAATCAAAAGAATTTGTAATTTTTCAAATATACATATATATATATATATTATTTCACCAAATTACAATGAAAAATATGCAGCATTGTCACAAGAGCAGAGAAGCTATTGATTGAACAATTAAAAAGAAAACTAGTTCCGTTTAGATCATGAATTTTGGTAGGAATTTGGCAAAGGAAAGAGAAAAAGTAACGAGAAATGTGAATACAATATAAGTTAAATTTTTTGCCATTTCTCTTTTCCTTTTGCTATCCAAATTTCTATCCAGATTATCCAAACACAACGCAAATATAAAGTATAAAAAATAAAAAATTGAATCTAATTGAATAAGTAAAATTCACATAAAATATTGACAAGCAAGTCTTACCTTAATTTATTTTTTTCCCGACTCCACTCATGCCATCAAAATTTCCAAAGTTCCAAGTAAACCTATTTTATTGCCAAAAAAATAATAAAAAATAAAAAAGGAAGATGATATAAAAGCATTTTACTCTTGTTTCCAAGCATCAGAAACAATTTGAAAGACAAATTACACTGATGGCACCTATATTTTCTCTCTTATGTCATTTGGTCTCTACACTTTTAATTGACTCAATTTTGACCCTTAATTTTAGATTTTGTATTAATTTGATCCAATTGATAATTCTGTTAATGTTTTTACAAAAAATTAACATTGAATTAGTTGCTGTTAACTCACTCAATTGAGTAAATTTATAATTTTGCTATTAAAAATACAACACATATCATTTATGTACCTATTTTTCATAAAAAAATGTTAAAAGTTATGAACAATTGAACCAAATTGAGACGGAGTCAGAAATTCATGATAAAAATCAAATCAATTGAAATTATTGAGACCAAGTAGAGGAACTAACATCGTAATTTGCCCTATTTAGAAATGGGCAAATTATAAACACACTCTGAGATTTACTTAAATTATAAATTACCCTTGTGTTCTAGAAATTACATTATGCCGCAAAGATTTCTAATTTCATAACAAAGAGGTCCTTTTATTAATAAATCATCAAATTAATTAATAGTTTTTAATAATGTTAAAATTTTATTTCAATTAATAATTTAGATAATTGTATTATTATATAGGTGAACAGTTAGAAATTTTAATTTTCAATTAATTCTGTTAAATAAAAAATTCTGACCGGAAGTATTTGTAATTTTTCAATCCACAGAACAATTCGCATTTTAAACAAATCTTAGGCGTATTTGTAATTTACCCTTTAGAAATATAACAGCAGCAAATCCAAAACAATGGGACCTAGATCTTAAAAAAATGACCTGAAGACTGAGGAGGCATGGTTCTCTCTCCGTTTGAGTCCCAACCCAATAAAACAATGAAACCGATTTGATGAAGAATGGTTTTATAAGAACTCAAAGTTCCAAAAACCTGCCAATCAATCAAAAAATTAAAAATAAATAAAAATGTTTCATCCATCCATAGATTTTGTTTTTGTCGGATATTCATCTCAGGTGTAATTGATTGGAAGGAATAAAAAAACGCATTGGAAAATAACCAAATCGTTTAATCTTCCTTTTGGTGGACTAATTTAAAAAGAAAAAAAAAATTAAGAAAAAATGTTTATCCACGAACTCAACACATGAGGTAAAGGATCTCAATCCATAAAATGATAGCAAATAACAAAATACTTACTCGAAAAAAGAAACAAATTTTCTTGGTCCTGATGAATCCTAACCCAATTGTTCAAAGCCTGAGTTTTCTTCCCTGCGAGTACGAAATGTTGAAGTAAACTTGTCAAGAAAAATTGATCTACTACCAGATTACATGTGAGCAACCTTTATTTATATATACCACTCAGAATATCTCATTACACACTACTTACTACTAAGTTCACACCAAACACAAATTGATTTTTTTTTTCCCCTCAAATCTTACTAATAATTTTTTTAAATATTATCAAATATACCTTATCTTCATCAATTTTAAAGCTCAACCCTAATTTTAATTTTAACCCTCAGAAACTATCCACCACTGTTGTTAGGGTTGTGTAAAATACCGCACAATCTGTTAAAATTATACTGATCCGTATCAATCAGCACCGCTCTATCTGCTAATCACAGTTTAACCTTTAAAATTTATAAATCGCCTTCGAAACCGTTTCACTCTACTATAGTTAATACATATATATTTTTTAATCTATAATGAAATATCAAAGTAAAAATAAATGTGAGAAATATTTAATATGTAAAATTATTACAAATTAGTAATTATACATATGAAAAATATTATGTAAATTAGTGTCATATATTATGCAAGTGCTTGACAATTGGTTAGAATATTTTTCAATCCGTCATCCGTCCAAAACTGCTCAAACCACAATTTGCTAATCTGCCATTCGATCTATAGTTTTACTGTCAAATCGCTCAAATCGCACCGCACGCCCCTAACTGTCGTCATCGCCATTGCCAGACTTCTCACCTCTGCGTCATATTGCCCATTAGCTATTATTGTCTTACCATTTTTTATGAATCTCTCTCTCTCTCTCTCTCTCTCTCACACACACACACACACACAAAGAGGGACTGTAGGAAGTAGGGCTTGTACATTGTAAGCGAGGGTCTTGGGGGGTGCATTGAAGGGTTAGGGGCTACGAGAGCTATGCATTATAGAGGTCGAAACACTAATAGGTCATCGGTGGTAGAGTTGCACTAATGGTAATTATGGAGCAGCTGGGCTAGGGTTGATGATGATCTAAAAATCAGTATCAGAGGATGGAGGAGGTTTCGAAGATGACTGGTGGTGTGTATTGAAAAATTAGTTTTGTTTAGAATGGTAATTTGCTTAATGGTTACCATAGGAATTTAAAATAAAATATATAAAAAGAAACCTAAACAATAATGTAAACTATCCGATTATGCAGTAGTGGTTAAATAGAATTATCCGATTACGTGTCGTTCAACTCAATATATCCGCAATGCGAGTAATAAAAGATTTTCTTTTTTAAATAATATTTTATAAATTTTAATTAAATTATTTATTTGTATATCTATATATAATCATTTTGTAAAATATGTTGCGACTTTGGTAATAAGTGTCAATAATCTTAGTATCTTGTGCTTTAAAATATATAAATTAAATAAATATATTTAATAATTTTTAACTAAATTATTTATGTATATATGAAATTGTTAGGTCCCTGTGTTGTCAAATCCGGAGACAAAACCTTGTGTTGATTCAAAACTATGTTTTTGTGTTTTTGTACTGTCCGCTCGAGCGGAGACTCTTGAGCTCGAGCGTAGATTAGCAGGTCACAGTATTTTGACAGGGCAAGCACAGATACTGGTGGGTGCGATTTTACGCTCGAGCGGAAACTCCTACGCTCGAGCGCATCTCAGCTTATTCATATGCAGTTTTTGGTCAGTCCGCTCGAGCGGGCTGTTGTGAGCTCGAGCGGAGATCGCAGATCCAGTTCTCTATTTAAAGCTGCTAAGGGTGTTTTTGTGAAGGACGTTTTCCTAGATCTGATCAAAACAAACTAGGGTTGTGTTTAAAGTCTTCTTGGGAGATTTTTGATCTTTTTCCTTGATGTTCTTAAGAGAGTTCTGAACTTATGCATTAAAATTCATACATCAAGGAGGTTGCTTCTTAAGTTTCAAGTGAGTTCTCTTCGGTGGATTCCGAAGATCAAAGCGTAGGATCCAAAAGGCGTTTGAGTCTACGCAGTCGTTAATTCGACGAGTGAAGTTGTGGTGTGGAATCAACTTCAGAATCAATTCCGTGACGAAGGTGTGGTGAAAAGAGTTACAGAAGATTCAGAGACAAATTGACTAGGGTTGGGTAATTTGTATGATTTCTTTGTAATCTTTTCGTTCTTCAGTAGTGGATTGATAGTGGCGGTTCGCCCGTGGTTTTTGATTACAATTGAAGGTTCTTCAATTGTGGTTTTTTCCACGTAAAAAATCGTTTGTGTCAATTTATTGTTTATTCTCAAAAACAAACAAACTAAAATCACTCTCGTAAGTGTTTGATGATTTTAGGTTGAGTGTTTTGATATAATATTGGACACCCACCGACACCCCCACCTCCACCCCTACCTCCAACTCCAACTCTAACTATACGTATTCCATGTTTGTAAACCCTAAACCTATTACTTTTCATAACCAACCAACATAAACCCTAAATCTATTATTTTTCATAATCATCTTAAATCCTGAATGTGTCATCTTCATCACCATCATCGACCATATTGAACTTAAAAGTTTTGCTTCAAGTATAACATATACTTCATCACTTATTTCACTGTGTAGAGCAATGGAGGACGAAGACAACAATTCTAGTGAGACCGGCATTCCATTGCTAAGTTTATCCATCTTGTATTAACATTCTCGGTTGTTTTTGATCGTTCTTGTTTTGTTTGAGCTGTTCGGTACTGGTTTGCTGACTGTTAGAATTATGTTCGGTAATACAGTATTGAACATAATCCTTTCGTTCAATACATAGGTTTCGAGCATTAATGCAGATAGTCAGTACTGTTAAACCAAATATCATCTTTATTTTCGACACTGTTGAACTGAACAAAATCATTAGTTTCAGGACTGTTGAAATGAGCATCATTTTTTCAATTTTGAAATTACATTCACATGTGTTTTTAACATGATGTTTCAACTAAAGGCAGTAAGGTTGATTTAAAACTTGTAATGGATTATAGTAATGGATTTGTTACTCATTAGGTGAGTCTTTGATTGATTTATTTATTTTAGATATTCAAGAGTCGAGATGCGTTAATTTGATGGGCACGTCAAGTTGGAAGAAGAAATGGATTCGTTATTGTTGTGCAGAAATCAGATAGGGGTGGTATTCGAGGTAGGAAGCCAAGACTTAGCTTAGCTTGTGAGAGGAGTGGATCTTATAGGGACACTCGAAAAAACAGCAAGCCTAAGACAAAAAAAAAAAGCAAGACTGACTGGTACAAAAAAATGTGAATGTCCTTTTTTATTGAAGGGCAAAAAATTAGCCACAAATGATGACTAAATCTTGATAGTTGTTTGTGGTGTGCATTATCATCTTGTTGCAAAATATCTTGAGGGTCATTCTTATGCTGGAAGGTTGTCACATGAGGAAACCTCTTTGTTGGTAGACATGTTGAAGAGTATAGTACGACCGAGTGAGATATTGGTTACATTAAAACAACATGATGATGCAAATGCTTCCACAATGAAGACAATTTAAAATTCACGTCATAGGTATAAAGTTGCTGAGAAAGCTAGGAGATCTCAAATGCAACAACTATTAGGTCAGTTAGCGGTGAACAAATACATTGAGTGGCGTAGGAGCTGTGCAGATATTGAGACAGTGACTGATTTGTTCTTTGCACATCCTACTAGTTTGAATCTGTTACGTGCATTTCCAAAAGTATTGTTGATGGATTGTACTTATAAGACCAATCGATATCGGTTGCCCTTTCTGGAGAATGTAGGTGTGACATCGACAGACATGACCTTTTCAGTTGCATTTGCATACCTCTAGTATGAGAAGGAAGATAACTACACACATGGGCACTTGGTATTTTGTGTAGTGTCATCGATGAAAATACTCTTCCTTTTGTTATTGTCACAAATAGAGAATTGGCCCTTATGAATGCCATATGTACGATGTTTCCTGCAACTACAAATTTATTGTGTAGATGGCATATTGGAAAAAATGTGCTTGCTAATTACAAAAAGATGTTTGAGACAAAGGATAAATGGGAAATGTTTATAATGAGTTGGAATATGTTGGTTATGTTATCGTCTGAAGAAGTATATATGCAACGACTGTCTTTGTTATATAGTGAGTTTAGTAGTTATCAAGATGCACTTCCTTATGTTACCTCATCTTGGTTGGATACATATAAGTAGAAATTTGTGGCTGCTTGGACTGACACATTTATGCACTTTGGAAATTCTACAACAAATAGGTAAATACGAACATTTAAATTTATTAGTTGTTTGGTTTTTTATTACATTATTTTTATAACAGTTTATTTTCATATATAGGGTTGAGAGTTCACATGCAAAACTTAAAAGATATCTTGGATCAAGTCAAGGAAATTTTGAGTCGAATTGGACAAGGATACACAATTTACTTGAGTTGCAACATAGTGAAATAAAATCATCATTTGAGAAAAGCAAGATTGTTGTGCAACATGATTTCAAACCTGACGCACAGTTGAAGGAGCTTCGTGGTAATGTCTCAATGTACTGCATTAGAGATCATATTGGCAGAGTCTAAACGAACATCTTCGATTAGTAATTTGATATTACTGCATGTGTATGTGTCGTTCGACGTACTCATGGTTTTCCATGTGCACATGGATAGCAAATTACATGAGGGAAATTGGCCAATTCCCCTCATTTGGTTTATTCATATGGACTAAGATTGATATGTTGAGTACCACCAAACACACTGAAGTGAAGAGTGGACTTGTACACCTGATTAGAATTGTTTGCCAAACAATTCGAGGAGGTGGATCCAGATGTGAAGAGATTTTTGTACAAAGATTGAGGGAATTAGCGAAACCTGATTGTACATTTTTATTAAGCAAAAGTGAAGTCTAATCCACGGGGTGCCAAAATTGAAGATTGAACCTCCACTCTCATGAGCCATTTGAGTTTGAAATAGTTGCTTCAGCACAAGATAGTTTTCACCCAGAGTCCATTGCCAGGCACGTGTAACAACAAAAAAGGTGAAAACAAAGAAGACAGAAAAGGTATAATGGTTTACTAGTGAGGTATGTAATTGTGTCATGTTGTCTACTTTATTGTCTAACATTGGCATTGGCCTGTGATAGGTTCACGCTTGAATCATTGAATCCAAATTGCTTTTAGAGGCATTCCTTTAATTGAGACGATATATTAAATACGTTAAGCGAGTTGCAGCAGATGGCAATTGTGGGTTCCGAGCTATTGCTGGTTTGATGGGTTTTGGAGAAGAAGGATGGTTACAAGTGAGAAAAGATTTACTTAAAGAGTTGCATACGCATAGTGACTACTACAGGAAATTATTTGGATCACAAGAGAGAATCGATGACCTTACCAACATCTTGGCATCTTTTGAACCAAACCCTGGGTTGGACCGGTGGATGACGATGCCTGACATGGGTCATCTTATATCATCTTTCTGCCAAGTCGTTTTGGTCCACCTGTTTATGCAACAATGTCTGACATTCCTCTCTCTTAGGTCAATACCGACGTCTGCTGCCTCTCGCAAGGAGATATGTATTGGCTTTGTCAACAACAACCATTTTGTTCAAGTATTGGTTTCTAATATTTTTGTACATTCTTGTACATCATAACGACAAATTTATTAATAACAAAAACATTTTTGTACATTCTAATTTTTTTTTTTTTTTTTGTAGCTCATTTGGAGCCTGGTCATCCTATTCCACCCATAGCAACTAACTGGCAGAGGTACCATGACCCTTGTGCAATAGGCTGGAAGGTTGCATACAGTTCCAGAGTACAACATTTCAAATCACTCATCAGTCTAGATGTAGCCACAATCGAAACAGTAGACCTGGATGAGGACTAATGTCATACGAGTGAGCTAGGAAACAGAATTAGAATGGATTTAAGTTATGTAATTTTCTTTGTTAAACTAACTTAAAATGGAAAAGAGTGAATTGGAATGGATTTAAGTTTTGTATTTTGAATGGATTTAATTCAGGTTATTTTCTTTGTTCTAATGAATTGGAATCGTAAACAGTGAATTGAAACGAATGTTATTTTTTGTGTTACACTGAATTGAAGTTGATGAAAAAAGTGAAATGGAATGGATTCAAGTTACACAATGAAGAACAAATTTTGTTCGGACATATAGTGCTGACAGGATCACTATTGTTCGACAAAACAGTTCTGAACAAAATACATTTGTTCGGCTATACAGTGGTGAATGAATTGTTTTTATTCGGTTCTACAATGCTGAAATGAGTAGGCCAGCAATTGTGAAAGGACCAGCAAGCATTTATGTTCGGCACTACAGTACTAAAAAAACCATATATGTTCGGTATTACAGTGTTAAACGAAGACTACTTGTTCGGCATTACAGTGCTAAGTGAGTCATTTTGATTCGGTTTTACAGTGCTGAACGAGGAGGATTTGTTCGGTTAGTGAGTGATGAACATAAAATTCATGTTCGCTCATTAGTCTAGATTTGTTTATTCAGTGATGACCATAAAGCAATAAACAAACCAATATTTCAAACAAACAAACTATCAAACCAATTCCAAACAATCAAACCAATTCTAAACCATCAAAATAATTCATTGAGTGCCCAAAAAGGTATGGTAAAGTCATATACAAGCCTAGCTCATACTTGTGTCATATACAAACCACCATCAAAATGTATGCCAAAAATTTTTCTCAGACAAACTAACATATACTAAAGTGTTATCTAACCTTTGTTATACTTGTGTCTAACACCATCAAAAAGTCTAACATATGTTTGAGACTAAGATTTCAAAATACACATTTAAAACATTTGAACCCAACAAATGCTAAAGTCTAAGACGTTGCTCCACGATTCCTGTGACGAGTGTACACCAAGTTCTCTGATGGTGTATGTTCTTCAGTGGACTGTTAGCCCTACAAGACTTGTGTTATCTTCTTCATAGCATTGCGTAACATATCTCGGGTGGGAGCTGCTTAATTGTATCCAATTTCGAGCATTGAACGTGAAATGCTCAAGGCACTGTCAATGCGCTGCAAACAATAAAATAAAATTTAACAATTTCCTTAAACAAAATATATATGAAAATGAAAATGGTAAAAATTGACATACGAATTGAAGCTGACGATAATCAGCTGATGTCTCAGTGCGTGGGTTATACTTAGAATGATGTGTCGGGTTTTGAACTTGCACATGTGAAATGGAAGTAAACCAGTCCAAGTAACTTGGCACACAATCCCATGGATGCAAGACTAGAACACTACGCGCTGTCTCAAACAAGAAGTGATTTTCCCAACTCTCCCAAATCGTATCCAAGTATTTATAGACAATGTTGTATTGTTTTGCAATGGATCCTCTAAAGGCTCGAACTAGAGCAAGCGGAGGTGAGGGAATAATTTGCACCTTCCAAACTATCTCAGCACCCTATCTAGATGGTATGGTTCAACAATGTACATACATTTTAAGCATTCACTATAGTAAGCAACATCAGAAAAAGGATGCTTAATACGCTTATCATGGTATGGATCCTAAATAACCTACAGTAGTAAAAATTTTATATGTAAGTTATAAATTAGGTTGAATAATAACAAGTAATATATACATACATTGATGTAAGTTTGACACTTATGTCATGGGCCTCTAATCTGTCGAGGTCCTCTCGCAACCTTTGTAAAATAGACGTTGACGAACCAGATTAGGTACGAGAAATCCAACGAAAGACACGAGGCTGATCTTCTTTATAGTCCAAATTGGGGTGGGGTCTAGCACCAACAAAGTGCTCGTAAATCCAAGCTTCCAGCAATGTCATGTATCCCGCCATTTGTTTCACGACATACCTTGTGGCAGTACCCAATTGCCGGTATAAAAAAGCCAATGCGGTTGCACCCCAAGCATAAGAAGCAACCGATCGCAAATCCATAAGAAAAGACAAATACAGTACCGGAACACGTGTGCCAGTCTTGTCTGCAAATAAGGTACAACCTAACAATATAACAAATATGCCCTAGCTGCACACTCAATGGTATTATCATTGTCCGCATCAACCACTGACTTAAAACCGTTGTCTCAACCATTCTACCTTGATAGACCGGTCCTGTGCTACATTCAACACTATATTTGCCTCATCTATTGTTACTCCCAAAGCCTCAACTAGCAGATTTGCAACGTCAACATTTGATAACTTCTTGCAAGAGACTAATTTACCAATCATTGGAATCCCTAGAATTACACTAACATCATCTAAGGTTGGTGACATCTCACCAAATGGTAGACAAAATGTGTTTGTATCTGGCTACCATCTTTCCACAAAGGCCGAAACTATAACTTTATTTACAAATTTATATGAGCAACTCACTAAAGAAATCAACCCCGAATCCATAATTAAACCATGAAATTTGGACTGTTCATTCTCTTCCAAGTTGAATGACCATTCACCAACTTTAAAACCATGATTTAAGCATTTAAGTATTCTACGTTCCTGCAACATAGAATAAAAAAAAAAGAAAAAAGAAAAAAAAAGAATTAGTAAAGTTGAAACAAAATTTAAAACATGAAATTAATGTAAGATAATGACTTACATCATTATACCAAATTTTTGCTGCTACGTGACAATGAAAACTCTTCAAAATTGAAGGATCATATGTCCCTCCAGGAAAAGGTCCAATAAGATCTTCATTAACTTTTTCAGCTGTATCTATTTGTTGGTCTTCATAGTCACCCATGTCTGTTGGTTCATCACCCGGATCATCACCTATGTCTGTTGGCTCATCACCCATATCTATTAGTTCATCACCCATGTCACTCACATTCAATTGATTGCCCCCATCGTTTTTAACCTCAACCGTTTTTGCTAAAGCAGCACCTATGTCATTCATGTCATGTTCATTAACTCCATTACCTTGATCCTTAGTCTTACGAGTGCGTTGAGGTCTCTTAGCCACTTTTTGAGAAAGTACAACATTACGTCTCCTAGATGCTGTTGGGCGATCTCGAGCAGTTTCCACCATAGTTGTCCACCAAGTACAATTAGATGTTAGTCAATGACAATGTAAGAAAATATATCCAATGTCAATTACCCTTAATAATATAGCCAGTCCTTTCTATGTATCAAAAATGCATGTCATCTAGGGACATTATATATATAACTTATAAGCCATTGAAGCCTATCTTAAATAGGTGTGTCATAACCAATGAGGCAAAAAAAAACATGCATGGTCAGAAGTATATATACATGTATTTTTATGTATGTAGATTTCAAATAGAGATAGCTTTAGAAAAGATACAAATTCAAATAGGAAACAACAAACTAAGACAGTTTCTTGCCAAACACAAAATAAATAAACGATAAAAAGAAATTACTAAAAATAAGATATTTGAGTTGGACCAAAATATGAGAATTGTAATGCATTAGAAGCATGCCAAGAGCAAGACCATTAAAAACAAAAAATCCTAAATAAAATTATAGACAAAAACAAAGCTTTCCCAAAAAAAAAAAGCAAAAATTTGAGAGCCTAAACAATGGAATTTGGTATTAAAAACAAAAAAGGCTTAGTACACACAGCAAAAGCTGTGTGTTTTGCTTCTTAGGACATTTCTGATTGATTATAAGTACTTAAAGAAAATTCAACATTGGCCCAAAGCCTATAGTTGCAATATAATCACATGCATCTCCAAGTTGATATAATGTGCTAAAATTAGCACTGTTTTCAAACAGCTCACCTACTTCTTGTTAGGTTTATGATGTGTATTGTGCTAATTAGAGTTAGTTTATGTGGAAGATAGTTAGTACAAGTATTGTGTGATTATGTGGCTATAAGTTGATGTATGAAAATACATGGAAAAGAAACTGAAAATGTGAATTAAATAATCTAGCTGGTTGTTGCCCTATTTGCCTTCTCTTCTTTCCCTTTTTTTTTTTTGGCAGAAAATTCAGATATAAATTTTTCATGTGGAAGAAAATTTAGATGTAATATAAGTCTAAATTTTCATTTTCATTTTCTTACTTCTTACCCACCAAACAAATATAAACTTAGAATTCATAGGGTACAATATTACATAAGAAAGAACATAACTTTTTTTTGCTCAAATAGGGTACAATATTACAGATTCAAGTGCCCTTTTCTTTGTTGACAATTTTTGGTTTGTCATTTACAACAAACAATGTATAACAAAAACTAACCTAACCTCATTACTAGTTAATGTTTAAGTAATAAAAGTAACACAAAAGAAAACAAAATTTTTAAAAAAAAACTTATGAAAATAAAGTAATTCTAAAGATTATTATAGGAAACAGAGGCAAAACCAATGGCAATGGCAATGCCATACAACAATAGAAAATGGACAATTTTATACTATATGTACAGTACAGACATAAAAACCTCACACTTAAAAAAACAACTAGTCCCAACACTCCAAGACAAAGTATCAGCCAAACAAATTTTGTTTTTTTCATGCACAAAGAAAACACAACCAAAATGCCCAACACTCCAAGACAAAAGATCAACTGAACAAATTTTCTAAAAGACAAAGGGTTCTAATATTTTTATTTTATTTCTAGTTGGTATGTAGACTTCTATTACATTATAATATTTAAGCCATCCATTAGATTACAATATTTAGACCTCTATTTCCAAAAAAAAAATTTGAATTTTATGTGGAATCAGGCCATCTATTACATTATAGTATTCTCCCATAATTAGGGTTTTGTGTGGTTGTGGTTTTGGTTGGTAAAGGGTTTTTGTTTGTGTGGTTATGATTAATTGAAAAGAAAAGAGAAGTAAATTATACATTTGACGGTAGATGAAAAAGTCTACAACACTTGTAAGAAAACATAAGTATTGTACCTTTGTGTGGTTGTGATCCGA